TAATTAAATTAAATTAAATATATACATAATACCCAGGAAGTTAAATGATCCATATAAGGCCAAACAGCTAACCATGGAAGAGGATTTGAACCCAGGGAGGTTGACTAAAGCTCAGACTTCCATGGCAGCAGCCCCGAGGAGAGGGTCTGCCCACATTCCCACCCTCTGCCACCTCTTTGCCGGCTAGAGCATCTATGGAACTGGGAACCGCTTGCTCCCAAAGGGAGACAGACAGTGTGTTGTTTTGGTTGGCAGAGGGTGTTTGCAGGCAGGGAGCGAGCATTTCCAGGATCTGGGAGGAAGAGGAAAACCACTGAGGTGTTAGGGCCGGGGGAGCCAAGACCTGACGTCTTCCGGCACCAGGCCAGCCAGTGCCTGAAGAAGGGGGGAAGTGTGGAGGATACACTCCCTTCTTCTTGGCTTTGGCTGCTCTCACTGGGGCCTCAACTCCAGCTAGGCTGATGGCCAGAGGCTGAGCTCAGCCACTGCTGGGTGGGGTGACTTCCATACAGCCTTGGTATCACAGGAGAGCTTCAACACCTTGAGTGATCTCCACAGGGACCTTTCCAGTACTCAGCTTCTAACGCCTTTAGCCAACCGCTTTCTCCTCTCCCTTAGGTGCAAAGTGGGGAGGAAGCTGCTGCAGGAGGTCCAGAGCACAGAGCGCCCAGTCCCTGCTGCTCTGCGGATCCTACATTCCCATGGCCATGTCACTGGAGTCCTGGCAGTACCCCCACTGTCTTGGTACCCATTTCAAAGCCTGGATGAAAACTGTAGGAATGCCTGCAACATGATTAGGGGCCTGGACAGCCTGAGGTCCCTGTTATCTTTACTAGTGACCAAGGTATAGGTATGTTATAGTCCAAATAACTCACAAGAGCAGTGATCCACACTTCACTTGGAGCACACCTCAGATATCTGGACTTGGGGATACAGCCTGGGAATATAACTAGTCCCCTCTGTGGTCCTTGCTCACTGCTGTGGTGGACCACTGGTCTCCCTCAGGGTGACAAGAAAGCCTGGAGCCTGAGTCCCTGTGTCTGTCCTCTGGCAAGCCCTCCTGATCTCAGCACAAGAAAATCCTTTCCAAGAAGCCTCTCTGATGGGTCAGGGTTGGTCTCTGCTGGGTCCCAAGGCTCCAAGTTTCCTCAGATTTCGGCACTAACCTACTGAGGGGTGGAGACTTTCTAGAGAGGTTGGAAGGCTAGCAGAATTCAGAAATAAGGAGGGATTTGGTACATAAAGGGGAGAGAGAAGTATGTTCCAGGTAAGAGGACTGCATAGAGCAGGCCGCAGAGGCCAGCAGAGGGTCTGCTCCTGGGGCAGAAGGGGTTGTGGCCACCTAGGGAAGCCTGTTTGAGTTGCATGTGGTGGCTGTGGTGGGGCGTGCTGCCAACAAGCACCACCTCCCTCACCCCTGCCGCCTCCAAGGGCAGCAGGGCATCTCCCAAGCAGCTCACCAACTGGGCCATTTCCCAAAAGAAAACAAGCTCAAATCTCTAAAACAAATCTCTGGCCACAGGCCTAGAACTAGAGGTGGGGGATAGTGCTGATTCTGGGATTTCCCACTTCCTCAGGCTTGTAAAAATTCTACCCAGAGAACTGTGGAGCCTAGCAATCTCAGACTCTGCACTATTGCTCTCCAGCTATCTGTGGTTAGCTCTTTGGGAGCACCCACAGATTTCAGACTTTCTCACTGCATGACTTCATTAACAACTGGACTCTAGAGACCTACGCTGTCACCATCTCACTTTGTGACCTCAGCTAACTAAGTTGCTCCACCTCTCAGGGCCTCAGAGAAAGCCTTAGATCTTAATGAAATCATCAGAGAAGGTAGCCAGACCCAGGGCAGAAAAGAAATCCCTGAGGCAGCTGCAGTGGGAAGGAGACAGGTGATTCCACCTGGCTTCAGTGATGAAAAAGCCAGGTACAAGCACCCCTGTCACACTTGCTCAGTGTTTGGAGAAAAGTTAATGGGCAGGACTGAAAGCCAGAGCCATTGAAGAATCAGACACACCATAATTAGAGTCACTGTAAATCTTTCTGCATGGTAATGCCAGAGTCTCCTATTTAGCTGACGCTTCTGTCCCAAGAGACTTTGAATGCTGCTTCCTTGGAGAGAAAGGAGGGAGATCAAGGCAGATCAGATCTTCCCAGCAGGCCTGGGCCACCCTCTCATAGGCAGAGCTCCCTGCTTCTCACAGTAGAAAGGACCAGCTTCCTCCCCAAAAACTCAGCCTTCAGAGCACTATCTGTCCTGTCCCTCAGGGTCTGGACCTCACTCAGTGCATGTTGGAGAGGTCTCCCACCATGTGCCCTGCATGCTTGGAGCAGAGGAATTCATCAAGAATCAGATATGTGCTGAGCTACAGTGACAAGTGTGTTACAGTTTACACAGAACTTCACCCGGTAATATCACAGAAGTGTCCTACCACCACAATCACCACATTATGGATATGGAAACTGAAGCTGACAGTGGTCAGGACTCACCCAGAACCAGGCTGAGACCAGATGTCTGCTGAGCCTCTCCCTCAGGTGAGGCCATGGGGAAAGACTTGCATTCTGCAACACATTTGGGGCCATCAGCTGGACAGGAGGCAGACTCAGGTGCCTGTCCTGGGCTTTCAGTTTTCTTGGCACAAAGGGAGCCTCCTTTTCCAGGTCAGGGCTACAAGCTTAGCTGAGTAGTTACCAAGCATGACCTGGCTTTTCTCAGAAAACAGAACTGAGTATCTCAGAACTCCAAGTCTCGGGCTGCAAATGCCACAAACCGGAGTTTTGGAATCGCCCTATCCTAAGAAACATACATCATGGAATCCTGGAACAATTTAATTGATGTCTTAGAGCTATTAAGTCATAAAATGGTAGCACTGACCATGTCATGGAGCCAATCTCTCCAGCCTATATTCCCTGCAGAAATCCCCTATATAGCTAGGAGTGGTGGTGCCAGCCTCCCCAGGTCAGCCAGAGGCCAATACACCCCAGTGACAGCACCCCCGTTCTCTGCAGGACTGAGTGGTTCCCACCAAGCTGCCAAGACTGTAGGAAGGCCATCCTGAAAGGAGTTCCTACCCCCCGTTCTGCCCTCCCATATGGCACTGCCAAATTCTCCCTGGCACAGGCAGAGTCAGAAAACACTCACCAAGGCCTCAAGGGCCACCCCCCCTTCCCTTCAGGTTGATGATGAGACCTTATAGGATCACATGACTCAGTCACCAGGTCAGGGCTCCTTTTCCTTATGCCTCTCCCAGGCCCCAGAGCAGGAGCGCCACAGGGCTGAGTGTAGCAGAGACTTGCTTTGAGCAAACCTGTCTCTGCCCAGTTTTGCCCCTTGAAGGAATGGGGAACTGAGATTTCTTTTATTTACTTATGTAGTATAGCAGAACTGCAACACAAACAGGCTTTCCAAGTGGCACTGAGTGGTAAGAGAAGCAAATATTACCATCCGAGGAACCCTTCTCTTGCTTCCTTCCCCCAGTCTCACCTCCTCTGGCCCTTTTTGCCTCCCGAGACTGGGCTCCAAGGATACCCTGCTGCTCAGCTTCCCCAGCTCCCTGCCTTTGCACAGGCTGGACCCCTGCCAGGACAGCTCTCCCCCAGGCCAACCCAAATCCCATCCATCCTAACAAATGGACCCTGAGCAAATCCTGCCCTGATGTCCACAGAAGCCCACTGCCCCCGCCCCTCGTGTCCTCGTTGCATCATAGGTCATCATCTGCTTTAAGGCTGCTGCCCCAGGCTGAGAGCTCCCCCAGGCTGAGACCTGTGATCCATTTGGCTAAGCATCTGCCACTCAGCCTGGTGATGAGGACACAAGATACCTCAGGCCCCTTCCTGCTAGAGGAGCCACCATATAAGGATCCTGGGTGCTCTGTGTTGGACGTGGCTCTGAGGAGGTGCCCACCTATTTATTAGCTGGAAAATCAGGTTAAACTTGCAGAGGAAAGAAGGAACCAGTTATAACCTTTTAAACCTTCCAATGGTAGAGCCACTCTTGAGCCTGGTCTGAATTCCGCCTTTTGCCAATTTATAGAAAATTAAGACACACACACACACACACACACACACACACACACACACGAAAAGAAAAGAAAAGAAATTTAAGACACTAAAAAAAAAAAATCTCAATTTGGTTTTTTTCTCCCACAAATTTTAAACTAAACTTCTGGTATCTGTGCATATGTTTCTGTACCAGCTCTAGAGAAGACAACCTCACCTTTAGCACAGGAGCTTAGTTTCATCCCTGTCGTTAACATTTCTCTTCCTCATAGGATTCTGCAAAGAGCAGCAATCCCTGCTTTTGGGGATGTCTCAGAGCCTCGGGCCTAAGCTTTCCTTTGTCTCTTTCAAATGTCCAGGTTTCATTCTGGTGATCAAAGATCAGTCTTGCTCGAACGCGGAGGAAGAAAGCCCAGGAGCTGGCCAGTTCACCTTGAAGGTTCATGCCAATTCCATGACTCAAGGCCTCTAGTTCCACCACTTGCCACTCATCCCATTAGCTGAAACGCCAGTTTCTCTAGGTTTCTCTCTTAAACATGTATTTTCCCCAGGGTTGACAGTCCATTAAACCCCCAGATTAGAGGTCAAGGAAACAGTGAATATTTGGCTCTAAAGAGCCAGAGAAGCATAGTTGTTTGAACACTATGAGTCTTGGATTTAATCCCAGTTTAATCCCAGTGTCTGTACCTCAGTTTCCTCATTTATAACAGGAATGATATCTATCTCATGGGTTGTGATGAAGATTAAATGAGCTATTACATGCTAGGCCCTGAGAGGAGGCCCTCAAGGGGATAAGCCAGAGATGTCCTCGAGGACAGCGTGGGTTCTGCTGCTCCATGAGTGGGACAAGAATGCCTGTTCCTCCTGTCTTTTGTTCCCCCTCTCCATGAACCATAGGTTACTTCTTCCACAGAGAGGCAGGCATTGTTCTAGAAGCCAGGGGGCTGCTGTGGTCTGTCTCTATCTCCTTTCTCCTATCCTCCCTCCTTTCTTCTTCTTACCTGGAAGAAGGTACCAGTGGCTGTGAGCTGAGCTCCTTAGGGTGCCACAAAGGCAGCGATGATGCTTCACTGGAAGAGCTGCGGGAAGAAGGGGACAAAGCCAATAAGATCTTCCATCTCCCCACCCTGTCTTCCACCCTCCACAGTCACCCCTTAGGCCCAGTCTGGGATCACCCTGTGCTGGTCTGGGACTCAGTGATGACTATCTCTGGTCCTGCAATGGAGAAGCTGTGGAGCCTTGAAACCCACAACATAGATCCTACATCCACACATGCTGCCCAAACACCAGCCTCATCTCCCCTCAACCCAGACAATCTACTCCTTGAGACCCTTATGCCTCTCTGTAGGGCTCAAAGGCCCCAAAGACTAGGACCTTGGGGTAGAGGCTCTTTCCTGCTGCAGGGACCTGTTCTTCCAAGGTAGCCACCAGGCTAGCTGTTCTTCCACAGCAGTCTCAGAAGGGACAGATGGTGGGCTAGAGGCAGATCTGGAGTACCATAATTATGAGCCTGAGTTCCGAGTCATGCGCACCTCACCCATGCCCAGCTCCTGCAACCAGCAGGGCAGCCCCCTACCCAGAAACTAGGAGAAGGGAGGGTTCTGAAGCCATGGCAAGATGATGGCAGGGAGGGAGCTTTGCATCCGCACCACTGGACTCAGAGGATGCTGCTGCTACCTTGCCTTCTGGGGGACACTGAGGCTGGCAGGGCCAGGGGTGTGACCATGTCGCCCAGAGAAGCAGAGGCACAAGGTTCCAAACCTGGCATCAAGGTGAACCAGGACAGTGATAGCTTAAGCCTAGTGCCCAGCACAGGACCCATGTCAGCATGAGAACTCTCCCCAACTCATTGGGACCCTGTAGCCACATAACAGTAAGAGGCACACAGCCAAGATGTTTCAGACCTGGCAGGCAGAGCTGAGATCTGAGACAGTGTCGACAGACCCTGGAGCAGCCCAGCCTGCCTCTGTCCTCATAGTGCTCATGATGCTCTGCACTCAATAGTTTACAAAGCATGCCTGTTTCTTCTATCATCCACATTGACCTTAAGGCCTAACTGACAGAAAAATATAAATAGATACAGGCTTCTTGTACCTATTAAACTATAGTCTGATGGATCTAGGTGGGGTCCAAGAGTCTGCATCTCTGAAATGGTACAGGTGATGCCAGGCTGCAGCTCCATGAACCACAATTTGAGCAGCAAGGACAATGCCGAAAGCAAGATGCTGGCAGTTAACTGTTAGCATCTTGGCGTTTACAGTATGACCATAAGTATACTTAACCTTTCTTTATGTATAAAATAGTAATAATAAAATTCACCCATAAGACTGATGTGGGAGGGCCAGGGATATATCTCAGGGGCACAGTGCCTGCCTGGCAACTGTGAAGTCTTGAGTTCAGTTCCTGGTACCAAAAAACAAAAAACAAATACAAAAACAACTAACCAAAAAAAACCCCACAAAAAACAGATGCAGGAGATTAAGTAACACATGTTTAGCCCTTAAAGTGGGTCAGAGTATAGCTCATCTGCCCAGCATGCACAAAGCCCTGGGTTCCAAATCCAGCATCAAAAACAAAACAAAACAAACCACCAAAGGTATTATCATTTCAAATTCTAATAAGGAAGCTCTAAGAGGTACAGCAAAAGTTAGACTTTAAACCTGAAATTTTAACAGGAAGCCTGCCATATCAAGTTGCACAAAATGTCACAGCCAGCAAGCCATGAGACAGATTAGGAAACTGAGGCCCAGAAAAGGGCAGGAAACCGACATACTCACAAGAAAGTTGGCGTCAGAAACCCAAGTCCAAGGCTGGGGGTGTGCTCAAGGTCCTGAGTTCAAGGCCAAGTCCTTAACATAGAGTGAAAACATCCAAGTCTGTGATTCCTGTCTAGTGCTCTTTGTAGCACATGTCACTGTCCTCTAACGAAGAGAAAGTGCCATACACAGTCCCTGAGGGATCTCAGCTCTGCTGCCAGCCCCATCTAAGCCAGCAGCTATCCTTAAAACCGGATGTGGGCCAGGCATGGTGGTACTTGCCAATAATCCCAGCACTTGGGAGGCTGCAGTAGGAAAATTGCTGTGAGTTCGAGGCCAGCCTGGGATATACAGTGAATTCAGGGTCAGCCTGGACTACATAGTGAGACCTTGCTTCAAAAACAACAACAACAAAAATAAAATAAAGTTAAAAACCCAAGACCTAAAACCTAAACCAAACAAACAACAGAGCTAGATATGGGATAGCTGGCTGGGGAGGTTACACTCATCGGGCCCTGGACTTACCCCAGCCCCTGACCACCAGGCTGTGTGAGGAGACTGGAACACCTGCCTCCCATCTCTACCTCCTGCCTCACACAGCCTGGTTAAGCTCAGTGCTAGGACCCAGCTGAGGTCCAGGGAGAAGGTGACATGAATGGGCTTGGCTTTGCCTCAGTTTGGCTTTCCAGCAAGGGTCCAGTGGAAGCTATGGCCTGGCTATGTAACTTTAATCAGTGTCCTTCTCTGAGCCTCAGTGAGTCATCTGAAGGAAGTTCTGCCCCAAACAGGAAGTGGTTCTTTAAATTGAAACCCCCAACCCCTCCCCGCAACATAGAATCACTCCAGGATCCGGAGATGGTGGCAGAGGAAGGGGAAGGAAAGGAAGCTGGTAGGAATTGCAATACTTATTCAGATTTTACCCAAAACTCAAACTTGGCTGGCTTCAATGCCCTGCTTGTGAAACTTAGCCTGCAGGCTTTCTTGCTGTGGCTTGACTGTGTAATCTAAGGACATCAGTGCCCTTCTCTGAGCCTCAGTTCCCTCACTCATAGGATCAGGGGCTGCACTAAAAGACTGCTGTGGCCTGGCACTCTACAATGAGATGAACAATTACAGCTAGGTTTTTCATGTGAATGAACAAATGTACATATGAATGAAATGGACGAACGAACTGAGTAACCTAATTTAAACTCTAGCTGTAGCATATGATCTGTCTATTACTATAGTAGCTTGTAGGGCAGAGAGCTCACTGGCAAGAAGACCCATCCCAGAGCCCCTCTTAGCAGCACAAAGGAGGCCACCATCCTGAGCTCCACAGGTCACAAACTCACAGATTTATTAGAGAACATACAGGAATCCCTGTCACATGCATCCATGTGACCTGTAATCCTTCTAACACCACTCAGGCCTACACAAACTCTTCTCTGCTTGTGGAACCTCAAGAGCAAAAGATGATGTGTCCAGCTGCCATGAAGTTCACCTATGGAGGCACCGACTGCACAGATGGAGGGGAGGGGGAGGCAGTGGGGCGGAGTGGCAAAAATGTTTTAGAGGAAAGACAAATTAACTTGTCAAATCTTTTCTCAGCTACCATCATGCAATCGCTTTTTATATAAACACACATCAGTTTTCCAGTAATGCTGAGCATCTTTTATGTTGTTTGTTTCTTTTCTGGCATTCTTCCTGTTCCATTTTGTGGTTCTAAAAGTACTCATTAATTAGTGTGGTATTCACAAAAAAAAAAAAAAAAAAAAAGCACAGGGTGGCTGAAGAGCATCTTACAGTATATAACAACTCCCATTACTCTAACGTAGCATAAAATGTGATACTAATTCTTTAAACTGGCAACAAGGTGTGCACTGAACACTAGAAATGTAATTTCATTTTTATAAAAACCTTCAAAAATCTGCGTATTTCATCTCATTTACAATTTATATTTTGATTTAGTTTAATAAAGCAAAGACAATTTTTGAAGACAAAAATAAATCCTTTTGCACTTACATTTATCGTTGAATACATATATATATATATATATATATATATATATATTCCCCCCACAATGAGGATGAACCTGTGACCTCGGTCTGTTAGGCAGTGCTCTGCTACTTCAAATTCTATACATTTTTGTCTTATTTTTCTCATTGCTGAGACAAAATACCCAACACTGTATTTCATTTTGTAGAGGTTCGGTTTGTAGTCATCTGGTTCCAAGGCAGGGTGGCACGGCAGAGGGGCATCACCAAGGAGAAAGTTCATGATGAGCAGAAGGCCGCAAAGCAGTGAAGTAGCAAAGACATGAAGCCGCAATTGACAAGCGACCCTCCTTCTATCCCTGGGGTCTTATCCAGGTTATTCACCTTTTGGGCAGATCCCAATGGTGAGGCACTCAATCCTAGCATCACCCAGCAATCCACTCCAGCATCACTTTCTTGACCTCAGCATCTATATCTTAGATCCAGCCTCCTCAGAAAAGTCTCACCTATGATCACATGAAGCTTTGGTGGGACTTCTAGATACAAATCATAACAACTTTTAAACTGCATTTTATTTTCCATCCTTTAGATCACTACAAATGATAAGAAAATCTTAATTATGACAATTAGTGATCTTGCTGAAATGAAGACAATGATGCATCTTATGCAATAAATAAATAATGAATCCTAAGTCTTATTTTTCTGAACATCACCAGCCCATAAACAAAACACTCAGACATGGATCATTAAATTCAGATATTCTTAGTATTTTGTCATTTTCATATAAAACTTTAACTTGACACATACAGTTCGGTTTATATAATAAGGCATTATATTTGTCACAGTAGGAAAGTCAAAGCTGTTTCATTCCACAGATTTAACAAGTCAAGATGTCCCTGCATTGGGGCTGGGGATTTAGCTCAGCGGCATAAGCGCCTGCCTTGCAAACAGGCAGTTGGGAGTTCGATCCCTGGTACCGATAAAAACGAAAAAAGACAAAAAAAAAAAAAAAAAAAAAAAAAAAAAAAAAAGATGTCCCTGCTCTCAGCCGTCCATTTCCAGAGGGGTTCTATAGGTGACTGATGGGTTTTTAGGTTCTCAGATCCCTACTCTGTCTCGACAACACAGATCACGTTGCCAGCACACATCTTGAGCTCCTGGTGTGTGCAGTTGCTCTGGATGGACAAGCCATGGGCTGATGGTGGAGACAGACACTCCAAGAAGATGTGTGCACAAAGGCAGCAAGGACCAGGTAAAGGATTAAGGCCTCACTGGTGGGTCACAGGTGGCTCCCAGCCTCACTCCCACGGGGCACAGGATGGTCCCACTTGAAGCAAGCTGTTTCTGAGGAACTGCCAACTCTTCCCTGCCTCCACTGAGGGTACAGGACTTCTAGAGGTTTCCTCCCTGGGGCCACCACTCCTTGTCCACTCCTTACCCCTGGGATCTGCAGAGTGGGGCACAGCATGATGGGCATTAAACAGGCCCAGGGGAAGCCTTGTACAGCAGGCCCTCCCTGAGTGCTTGCTAGATGAACCAGTGAGGAAGCAACAGTAACTACCTCTGGTTCTGTCCACCCTCCCGGTCACAGAGGGGCCAGGCTGGGTACCAGACCAGGCCTAAGAAAAGGCCATGGGGCTGGGAGCACATCCCAGCCCTCTCGGCTTTGCCCTTTTACTGTGTGGTCACAGGAAAATCACTTTACTTCTCTGGGTATTAACTAGGTCAAACAGAGATTAATGCTACTTTGAAGTCGCCTGATTTCAGGTGAGCACATATAGAGCTTTGGTTAGGAACAGGGGGCACTGAGGCTCAGAGAGGGGAAGTGACTTGGCCATGGTCAAATAGCAAATAAGTCTGAAGTAGAACTCAAGCCCCCTGTGCTCTACAGAGCTGGACCCCCAAAGGCCTCAGTTCAGACACCAGATTTAAGGTGACAGCTCCTGTCATGTTCCAAGGAATATTACAGGAGTCAGGGCAGGTGCCACCCTAGGCTGATGTCAGCAGTTAAAATCCCAGAGTCAGATCCTGTAATTTAGTCAGAACAGCCTTTCCTTTGCTCTTTCCTGGGCCATGCTGACCAACACAAGTTCCCAAGAGATTCAAGCATTTACATGGAAAAATCCCAACACCAGACACAACAGTGGGCCGTGAAGAAGTCAAATGCAGGAGGGAAGAGGCTGTAAAGGCCTTGATTTCCTCCAAGTTGTTCAGAGTCTCCAGGGCCCTGACCTAACCTCTGCCCATAAGCCCTGCCCATCTCCTGCCTTTATCCACATCCCTTGAGCCAAAGAGGTAGGCTGGGAGGACAAAACACAGCAGACCACCAGAGTGACCTCTAGCATGGCCTCTGGGGCTGGCTAGGTTGGACAGCCAGCCCCTGGAGGCCAATCTGGGATGTCACTATCCTCAGAACTCTTGTTAGCCTGGGCCAACATTCACTGCATGAAGTTGGCTAAAATCACCTCATGCATTGGGGGAAAACAGTGGGTCTTGGAGGCTTCTTGGGCTGAGCAAGAGAAGACCCAGGAATGGCAAGGGGGCTGCAGGGGCCTGGCACAGCTCTCACAAGGTATTGATCCTTGCTGATCTCACAAGCCTATGGCCCTCCATGCTGCACACATCCTTTCTAACAGTTGTTTCTTGCTAGTGCCAGGATCTGGGCAATTGACATCCTACATGGATTTTTTTCAGAGACAGAGTCTCACTATATAGTTCAGGCAGGCCTTGAACTCACTACATAACCAAGGCTGGCCTTGAACATGTGGGGATCCTCCTGCCTCCCAAGTGTAGGGATTCCAGGTGTGCACCACCAGCCTCCAGCACAACACCTTACAAGCTTTATCTCACATAATCTACACACTCATCTGAGGCAGGCTGCCTCACTTCATCTACACCCCCTTGGGACCTTTTTACCATTTGGGAGCAGATAGGTACATGGTTGAGCTCTCAGAGCCAATTATTGGATTCTTTTACTCAAAGATGCCCCAAGGTGCCTTTTACCAGTGACTGGTATAAATTCCCCAGCCTCCTTGTCCCTGGAGGCCAATCTTGGGTGTAGCTGGCACTGTCCCCAGAGCTCTTCTCCTGGCCTGGGCCAAGGTTCCCTGCATAGGGTTGGCTTAACTCACCTCTTGCCTCTCCCTCCTTCTCACTGTGCTCCAGTTCCCCCCATTTCCATACCAGTTTCTTTCTTGGAAAACTTCTAACAGATCACTCTCACATGACTTCTGTCTCAGGGTCCTGGGTCAACTTCAAAGGTCAGGCACCTTGGAGGTTAGTGACATGAGTTCTCCTACTTTTGATAGGAGGAATCTGAGGCCCTGGGTCCCAAAGGGTTGTGCTGATATTAAATTCACATACTCCAAATCTGGAGAGCAGCAGAACATGAGCTTGAACTGAGGTCTGCAAAACCTGAGTGTAGGTCTCTCTCCTCGAGTCCTACTCCTCTGTCTACCTTCTGCATCATTTGAGCCTATTTATGTCCTCAAATGCTGCTGTCACCTTCCGGTCTTCTAGGCTAACTTTCCTTTTTTTTTAATTAGAAGGAAAGGATGAGTGTCTGTGGAATGTCCAAGAAGGATGACTAAGGCTTCAGCTTCCTTATACTGGCCTGGGCCCTGTTTTGGTCAGTTCTTGTGAATCAGGGTGGATCTGACATGCTGGGAATGCAGGGACACTTTATGAAAACAAGTTATAAAAATACTGGCTCACATTCAGAGACACTGGCTTATAGGCTTCGTTCCATGGGGCAGGGCTGAGTGAGTTCACCTGGAGGGAGCACACAACACAAAATTGAGGCCAGACCAAAGCACGAACTTTCCAGTACTAGCAGTGGGGCTTTGGGGTAGTGGTGGGTGTGGCATCCTTGGAAGCAGGGACTCCATGTCCTGACCTCCCCAGGCCTTTTTGTTTGAAGCATCTATGAAACAACTTCACTGAGCCCTAATACACAAAAACCATGGAGGCCAAACTCACCTAGTCCCCAGAGTCTCCTCTGGTCTTGCATCTGGTTTGTGAGGGTGCTCAGGGTCTCTGGGACTTCTAAGATCCTCCCCACACCCTAGAGTAGCTGCATTACTCTGTGGGTAGAAAGACAGACAGAGGCCCTCAGCCTGGCGGCAACTATGGTAAGATGACCACTACTTCTGAGGCCCCTCCTCTGTCTTACACAATCACCTTGCAAAGAGGGCCACCCCTCCTGGGCCTTCTGCAGAGAAAGGGGATCAGTGGGTGTTCATGCAGAGAAAGGGGATCAGTGGGTGTTCATGGGTGCCAGCTCCCCCTCCCCTCCACACTTTCCAGGAGGCAGGCTTCTTCCAGTCAGGAATAAACAGGTCTGACTCTTGCCCAGTCCATCCCTTTCCAGCTTCTCTAGCTGCCTTTCTTTCTTGCTGAACTCTGAAAGAGCTGTCTACTCCTCTGTCTCCATTTCCATCTGTCTACTGCTAAACTTTCCACCCTGTTTCCACCAAGTTCCCAAATAACTTGATGTAGGCAAATCTGCTGGATACTTCTTGGTGCTCAGCTGACACCAGACCTTGCCCTCTTAGAAATGTTGCCCTTCTCTAGCTTTCTGGACACACTTTCTGGGTTTTCTCCAGCTCCATGTCGACCTCCCCAGGCCCTAGCTGGCTTCTCTCTGCTCAGACCTGACTGTGACTGCACCACTCAAGCCCTCCTTGGGTCATATCATCTACTCCCCTGGCTTCAATCTCCCTACTTTCCAGGCCTGGACTGAGCTGAGGACCAGAGTACTTCACTATACTCTGGTCATCTGCTCCTGGATGCCCCACAAAAGCCCCACACCATGCTGGCCAGATGGGAACTCATCTCCTCTGATATACCTGTCCCTGGCCCTCCTCCTTATCTCAAAGTACCTCCATTCTCTCCATCTGCAATCTGGAAAATGAGACACACCCTCCTCAGATCTCGAAGTCCCACAGATATGAGGCCCCGTTCCCAGTCCCCACCTCTTTCCTCTCATCTGCCCCTAAATATTTCTAGTCTGGCAAAGGCTCCAGCCACAGTCATCCCTCTGGGACATAGGAGCACCTTCAGCTATTGTCCTGTGCCCTGAACTGCCACCCCGTCTCCCAGTTCTACAACCCTCTGGTGTCCACAGCATATCTGAGCCAGGATGGCTCTGGAAGGAAGAGGCAGTGTCTGCTCTGATCTGAATCCTCAGCACTTGGCCCAAGCTCAGCCCTTGGGCCCCAGAGAGGTCTTTGAAATCTAAGAACTTGCATGTCTGCTAGATTTGTCCCATTGATGAGGTCAGCCCATGGGCCACCCTGGGCTGTATCACTGCTCTGCTACCCCTATGGTGTGAAACACCTGCATTCTCAGCCCCTTCTAGAAGCACCCCACCTGCCTGCCACTTACAAAGGAGCTATCACAAGCAGCCCTGAGAGAGCCAAGAGGGCCAGCCTCACACATGCATACGCACACATGCAAACCTGTCTGCAGACACACAAAGATGCACAGAGTGCACTCTCAAAGACACAAGTAACACAAGAGGACACAGACACAAGCACACAGGCTCATAGAGGCACATACAGACAAGTAGAGGCGGGATCATGGGAACAGGAACATCCTGCAAAGAACACCAATGGTGCCACAACGTCACCTGGAGTTGCAAGCCCGAGGAGTGCAGCTGCCCTAGGGGTACTCAGGGTTAGCTCTGGCGACTGCAGCACAGGACTCCAGGAGAGACCCTGGTGGTCCTGCCTGTCTCTTTGGATCCTCAGGCTGTAGCTTCACCCAGAAGAGAGAAGAAAAGGGTTCAGGCCATTCTCCACAGAGACAGCTGGCGGCAATGGAGGAGGCTATGGGTTACTCTACCTGACAGCACTGCCAATCTGAGCAGAGAAAACTCAGTGTCCACTGTTCTGCAAGGGCAGGGAAAACAAGTTGAGAGGGCACATCACACTCAAAACTGATGCAAATGACACATGGCCAACACCTGCCTATGCATACCATTAACTCTGCCCTCTCCTCACATCCTCCCAATCTAGTATCTCTCCACATTCCAACTTGGATGTGGCTTTCCCTTTATGGCACCCCAGTCCTTCATAACTGTCCAAGAAACAGTTGAGAACTCCCCAGAACCTCCATGATCAAGTATAAACCCAACATGTAACGCTTTTCTCAAGCAGGCCTCAACTCACCTTTCTAGTCTTCTCTGAACCTCAGGAAAGCCCCACCAGTGGGAGTTATGTCCTGCCCCAGGGACTTTACTCTCCAGCTCTATACCTTTGCACAAGCGATTCCTTCTGCACACCACATTTTCCATATGTCTCTGCTTGGTAACTCCTACTGATCCTTCAGTACCCAAATGGGAAATACTGTTGCTCCAAGGACTGGCTTTGATAGTGTCAGTTAGGTCCTAAAGCCAGCACATAATGAGTAAATTGCATATGGTCAAAATCACCCCTGGCTATATATAGCTACCACTTATATGCAATGCCTAGGCATTGTTCTAGGCATTTCCTGTTTTGACTCATATAGTGCTCAGGACTGTGGCAGATTGTATTTCCAGAGACATCTGCAGCAGCACCTCCCATCCCCCATACTCTTCTTACAGTGTAACTCTGTCACCCTTCCCAGGAGACGTGGGTTCTTTGCACTCCCACTTAAATCTGGGACTGTAGGGTTAATAGCTGAAGTAGCACTAGGAGGCTTCCAGGGCCCGGTCATCAAACGTGACCCAGCTCCTGAGTTGTTTACTGGGACACTTGCTGGAGTCCTGAGCCACACATGGCTGCCTGGACTTCTGTGGAATTCAACCAAGCAGAGAAAGGAAGCCTCATGGATACATGAAAAGCAAGCAAGACAGGTTGGGCATCTCAGCTGCCCCCATCCTCAACGATCAGGCACTATTTGACAAACAGAACCCAAGCCAGAGCACCCAGTAGAGCCTACTTTAAACCCATGGCCCACAGAAACTGAGATGGTGAAATGACTGTTCTTACATAAAGCCACTAAGTTCGGGGGATGATTTATTATGTAACAGTAGCAACTGGGACAACTGTAAAGTAGGAACTATCATTCTCCCTGCTTCAAAAAAGAAGGATCCACAGCACAGAGAGGTTAGTAAGTTGTTCAAGGTCACAGAGGAAAAAATGAGCACAGCAAGGATTTGAACCCAGGCAGTTTAGCCCCAAGATTTACACTCTTCCCTGCTATGCCATTCTGACTCCAAGCCCGACATCTCCCAGCCATGGCAGGCTTCAGGCAGTGGCTGCTGAATAAATGACTAAAGGAAACAATAAGCAAATGACTGACTGAGAGTGACCAAAAGCACAGAGTAGGCTTCAGGGTGCAAGGCAAGGGCCTTAGACAAGTCCACACCATGCAAATGAGTGTGACAAAAGTCCTGTTGCTAGGGCAGGTTCTCTGTCCACAGCCCTGGGGGCAGTGAGGGGATCAGAGGAGGCTGGCAGATGCCACAGGCCTCTGCTTCCACAGGAATTCTGTGAGGCATATGTTCCTGCTCCCTGCCTCCTCCAGGTCAAAACTTGCAGGATTACACACAGGTCCTGAGGAGCTAAGCCCACCTAAGGCCAGGGCTTGTGGATCCTGGGGACCCCAGGGGAGGCTGGGGACCTGAGTTTCATCCTGTATGGCCACTGACTGGCTGTGTGAACTTTGACAAGTCCCCGCCCTTCTCTGAATCCAAGTATTTCAAGCTTTAATACATTAAGTCTCACAAGGCACTACACTCCCTCATGGATGGGGTGCAGGTGAGGCATGGTTGTGTGGGTCCCATAACCCCTGTGCTGAAGGGATCCATCCCTAGAAGGAAAATGGGGAATGAGAATGAATCCTGCTATTGCTTGCTGTGAGCTTGCTGTGTGCCAGGCCCTTCTATAGGCACTGACTCTGCTGCTTGCTGCAGCTCCATAAGGCAGGGCCACCTGCAGGGTGAGACTCAGATCATAGCTAAAGTGATGCTGGATGTAGGGTCCAACTCAGGCCGGCCCAATTTCAAGATTCCCACTTTGTGTGTGTGTGTGTGTGTGTGTGTGTGTGTGTATCACTGGGGACTGACTCAGGACCTCACACATGCTGGGCAAGTGCTCTGCCACCAAAGTGCATCGCCAGCCTCTTTTTATTTTATTTTGAAAGTGTATCCTGCTAAGCTGCTCAGGTAGGAATGAAACTCCTGATTCTCCTGCCTCAGCTTCCTCAGTAGCTGGGATGATAGGTATATGCCATCAAACCTGGCCAAAACGCCCAGTCTTATCACAATAGGCAAGAGGCAGAAATAACCCGTGTCCACTGAGATAGGTGGAAGGACAGGACAAAATGTAGTCTATTCACACAGCAGACGATCATCCTGCTTTAAAAAAGAAGGAAAGCCTAACACTTCCTACAACATGGATGCACATGTCGGGCTTTATGCTAAATCAGATAAGCCTGTCACAAGCTGGGTACAGTAGCACACTTCTGTAATCCCACCACTTAGGAGGCTACAGTGAGGGGATGCCCACAGTTCAAGGCCAGCCTGGGTTAACTGTGAGTTCAAGGCCAGTTTGGACTTACACAGCAAGACCCTGTTTCAAAAAACAAACAAGCAAAAGAAAAAAAAAATAGCCAGTCACAGAGACAAACATGATAGAATTCCATTTACGGAGACCTCTAACGCAGTCAAATTCACAGAAACAGAAAGTAGAGCGGTGGTCATTGGGAGGCTGGGGAAGGGAAACGGGAAGTTGCTATGTAACCAGTGTGGAGTTCCAGTTTTGCATGTGCACAACCACTGACAATCAGGGCTGGGGATGCAGCTCAGTGAGGGTGCCCCACTAGCATGTGTGAGCTTGTGTTCAGTCCCCAGCACTGAACAACAAACAAACAAACAAACACCTGGAGATCTACTGGACACTGTGAAGATCGAACTGTACACTCAAAATGGTTAAGATGACATGTATTTTATGTTACATGGACTAGGCAGGATGTGATAAGCACAGACAGTCCTGGGTACTAAAAGCCAAGGGTTAGACCCTGCTCCCTGCCTCGCTCCTAGATCCAGCTGACTCCAGGCCTCCGCCTACTTGAGACCTTGGAGTCTCCACCCAAA